TCAGATCCCTCCTTTTTTATTTTTTATCAATTCTTTTATTTTTTAAAGCTTTATACCCAGAATCATCACTTTTGAAACAGGAAGTGAAATAGAGGGATATGAGGCATGGCTAGAATGGGTGATCTGTTTGGTATTTTGAGCAAAACACTTCATAGACATGTTTTTTATATATTTGTATATATCTGAGACCTATGCTATTGCCTAAAAATAGCATGATAGGTGACCTTTAACTTAACATAAACTGTACACTGATGGTCATACCAACCATACCAACCAACATGGGCTTAATTTAAATGAGCAAATATGTGTTTAAGTAGTTCAACTATACATACATAAGCGTAAAAATGTGTTATTTGTTATTATTACACTGCACAGTTGAATACTCAATTCTAATTGGTCAATTCGGACATTCCAAAGGTTGCTAATTCTTAATAAAAGACCGTTGCTAAGGAGAAAATGTATTTGGAAGTGTTATTAGCGGGATAATGAGGAATAACACATTGAAAGCAATAGGAATACATTTAAATACATTAAAATACAACGAAAATGACTTAAAATGCAAGGTATAAAATAAGTAATCACACCACTTTTGATTGTTCAGTTTAGTGTATGTGGATTTCTTTTTTGTGGACTTTTCTTTTACACTTAGTCTTGACCTTGAATGCATCTAAGAAGAAACATGTTGAATCATGCACCGTATCTTTATTTAACCAGATAAAAAGATAAAATCTAATTTACAATGCTGACCTGGCCAAGAAGGCAGCAACGTTACACATTACATTACATGTCACTTGTTAGACGCTTTTCTCCAAAGCGACTTACATACTCAGTACTGTGGACAATCCCCACAGGAGCAATTTGGGGTGAAGTGTCTCAGGGACACAACGACATGCTGACTGCTGTGGGGTTTGAACCTGTGCTCCCCTGATTCTAACACCAATGCACAACCCACTGCGCCACACGCCTCCACCAACACATAACACAGACATATAAAATACAGAGAACACAACTAAGTAAATGAAAAAACGAAAAGCAATCACTACATTGTGCACATTTGGGACAGTAAGAAAGGTACACTACTTATTACTGCAAGAGCTGGTGGTAAGGACCTCGGACAACTTCAATTTAAAAAAGGCTATAGGGACAAGTGCCGTCAGTTTGAGGCGTGATTGAAGGTCATTCCAAGACCAAGGACCATAATGAAAAAGACTCCTTTTTCCAGCCTCAGTCCACACAGCAGGAACCTGGACCCGTATCCAGGCACTGGTTCTGAGGTTGTAAGAGTCACTAACTGGAGCAAATCTGGCACATATGTACAGTGGAAGCTTACCTAAAATGGCTTGATACATTAATAAAAACCAGTGCTGCATCCTACGCATAGTAAGTGAGGACCATCCAGTTAGGCTATACAGTGTGCAATGATGAGTCCTATAGGGTGCATTTGATATAACGCAGTGCAGTATGGTAGAGTGGGTCAAGTTTGGCCAAAACAGTGGGACAGGCAAATCTATAAATTGTATCACCGTAGTCCAGCTGGGACAGGAATAATCCAGAGACCAACCTTTTACGGGAAGAAGTTGAAAAACAACATTTAAGTCTGTAAAGGAAGCCAAGAGTGAATTTCAGTTTCTTAGTTAGAACTTCAATATGGTGTTTAAAGTTCAGATTACTGTCCAACCAAAAGCCCAGATATTTGTATGTATCGACAAACTCAACGGAGACGCCATCAAGGGTGTCAATGGAGAGGCAAGAGGACGCTGACTTGGGAGCAAAGAACATTGCTTTGGTTTTCTTACTGTTCAATAGCAGTTTCGAATCAAGAAGCGCATGCTGCAGCGTGATAAAATCAGTTTTTAAATCTGCAAGGTAACACTAGAAAATGTCCTCGCTTGAATCCAAATGACCCCAATTAAATGGCTCTACAGGGAGAAAAGACCATAAAGATTAGATAGTAGGAGATCGTTTAATTTGGGGAGAGTTAATTAGACATTTTAATGGAGTTGGGAAAGTTACACAGTCAGCCAAAAGAGAAACCTTTCAGACGTTCCCCTTGGGGCGTTTTGAACTCCAAAAGTCCTTTTCCCCTCTTGTTTATGTCTGACTTTAGTTTCTACAGTTTATTCCAGCTTACATCAAGGTCAATTATTCTCCCAGGCACATTTTTGTGCATTACAGACATTATTTATCCCCCGTTTCCTCCTTCATGAGCAAAACTCCTGACTCTCCCTGCCCCAGTGTGTGTTATTCAAGGTGTTTTCTAGTCCACAAGCCACTTGAAAAGGAAATAAATATGCAAGTTTCCCGTTGTGTAATATCATATTTAATTGAACCATTCTGAGTCAGGGAGCTATTTTAGGTTTTCATCCATTATATTAAAATACTTATATACTCTGGGCGACAGAAAAAAGCATCAGCAAAATGTGTGTACAGTCTGAGAGATAAGTAACTATATGAGTTACACTGATTCTGCAATTTACCACACGCCCCACCAGCGCCTGACATTGATGAATTACCTTGCTCCGAATATGCTGCATCAGCCATGTGTGTGAATAATAAACTTCATCATCTCGGCTCCCCCTCTTCCTCCCTCCCTCTGAAGTGACTGGGCTGTGAGTAACGAGCCGCTGAACGTGAGATTATGTTCACAACATGTTTCAAGCCTCTGTCCTCTCAAGCCTGAAACTGTCCTGCAGCCCAAACAAATATCAAGAAGATTAAGAAGCATTTTATTGGTCTCAAAGGATCATTAGCCATGTTTTTATTCAGCGCC